AAAGACATATTTTTAGGAGGTCAAGCATGCTAGAACACATAAAACATTGACATACATGATAATAAATTTACATAAAAAATACATAATGAAAAAATACTCATACGTTTCAAATACAATATTATACATACATACATATACCAAATGTATAGACAAATAGATAAACACAAATAATTAATTGCAACAATTAAGTTGAATATTAAATGGTGCAAAGTTTGTTTCGGTTTTAAATTGGTGCGCTTAAAATTCGATATTAAGTTGTGAAAAACACAACAAATAGTCAAGTGAAAATAAACAGTAAATAAAAACAGTAAATGTCATGAATTGCCGGAATATATGCGGGCGCATATGTAAACTATGGCTGCCTGCTGAGTGATATTAAATAAAGTAAATGGTGGATAACGGTGTAAACGCTGTTAAAAATTTTAATAACAAAAAAGTAAATGTTAAACAACTAAAAGTATACATTTTGGTGTGGAGAAAAGTGAATGACAGATGAAAATATAAATATTAATTTTTCAACACAGTTTTTCTTCAGCAATTTTAATGGCAGTGAGAGTGATTTATATGCATGTACTCGCATATTTTTGCATACATGTTTAACGGTATTCATATATGCACTGACACGATGAGCGTCGAAAGCTAAAAACTCGACGGCATAAAGTATTAAATTGAAAAGTTTAAATATTCCTCCCCATAAATGCATATTTTTATGTACAGAAGAATATATGAGTGAAGGAAGCTGTGTTTGGCGCATTAAGTTGCTAAAGCAAAGCAATTAACGAAATGGGAGTTCAACATTTGATTAAATAGCTATTAAGCTTGTATGGACTAATTACTAAATTACACAATTTCTTTTTCAACCAAGCAAATATAAAAAAGTGCGTGGATGTTGATTGCAGCTACTCAGATTTGACATAAAAACACTAACGGCTTGATTAACGGTATCAGTGGGTATTAACTGCATGACTATTTCCGGTTAGTTTTCTTTTAACTAAAAAACGTACTTTGTACAAATGTGAAACGTATTTTACGTTAGAATCCTTTTGAGATGGTAATTGATTTCAATTCTCATAAACAAATCTTGGATAAAAATGATGAAAAAACGGTCTATAGATCTGTAAGCGCAATAAATACCGGTAAACTAGAAAATAGTGAAAGTAGACTTCAAATTACATTTTTTTTATGTTTTATTCTGTCACAAAGAAATAACCGAAAGTTGAAATCCTCTCTGTACGCCCACGTATAACCCCGACTTTCAACGATTAAGTAATTGTTCTTACAAAATGTAAAACAAAAGCAATTGTTTTTAGATCGTAAAACTCGAAACTCTTTCAGTGTTGGTAAGAAAAATTCTGCAGCTCTAAATATACCGCTTGAACTAGAAAGTAATTAGCTTCAGAAAAAATATTATCAAAATATATACGATTTTTTTCTAATGTTTTCTTCATCATGATAAAAAACAAGAAAAAAAGGTTGCACTCAAGCTATGATACTCTTCGCAAAGAAAAAAGCTTGCATACACGAACTTGGCCTTGATCGATCAGTTTGTCTGACAGCTATATCTATAGTGGTCCGATCAGAACAATTTGTTCGGAGAATGTACCGTTTCTTTGGACAATAATCCATGCAAAATTTCGTAAAGATATATTGTCAAGTAATAAGGTTTCAATACACTAACTTGACTTTGATCGGTCAGTTTGTATGATAGCTATATGCTATAGTGGTGCGATCTGAATAATTTTTATATACTTGTACATTTTATAGGGTCTCTGATATTTCCTACTGGGTGTTATAAAAACTGAAATATGGACTTATACATTATTTCCAGAAAACATAAAAAATTAGCCACCTAAATTAAAAAAAAATTTTCAACAATTGAAACCCACTGTGTATGCCAAGATGCACTGATGTTAGCTCTACTGATTTTAACAACAAAGGCTTACAAAGAGAAAGAAACATTACTTTTAATGAATAAAAGAAACGTTGCCTACAATTGGGCGCATTGATGTCTTTACTGTATAATCTGATTTAATTGAAAGGGAAAGGAGTATTACTAGAAACCTTAACACGACTTTATTCATTATGTAACACAAAAAAAGATTACACAAAAAACCTGTTCCCTGCTAAGTATGTATACACCAGTTCTATATATTGCTGTAGTCCATCAACGTTTTGCTGTTGCTAGAATTTCGGTTGACAAGCACGCATTCGCCGTTTGTCTGCCTATTTAATAGTCCTAGATACATACACATACATACGGATTTTGTGGCATGCAGTCACGTACAACACATTTGTTGCACTTTTCATTTTTAGGCGTTGCATAGTTATAGGCGCCAAATGCAGGGACATCACAAAACTTGCTATGACAAACGTGTTTTTACTGTTAATTTTCGCACACAATCCAAAACGTCATTGAACTTTGATGTCAGCAGTAATCTAGCGCACTGGACTGTTTTGGGCTGCAGTTTCAAAATAAGGTCTTGTTTGCTTTTTTTACAAAGTGTTTCTGGAAATACAGTCACTCTTTACGTAACCTCGTGCAACGGTTGTGGGTCAAATACTCATTACTATACTGTATACTCGTATGTGTCTGCTATATGAGTTCATAAAAATATTTAGTGAAGCGGAATGACCTGGTTTTTGGAAAAATATAAATTTCATGAAGTGTTATTTTTAGTAGTTTAGTAGAATGCGTTCTTGCTGAAAAAATTTATGTTATTACAAGTACTATCGGGTGAAACAATTTTTTTTGCTTTCATACATACCCTAGACAAGCCAATAATGAGAGGTATTATTCAACGTTGCCAGACAGGCGAAATTTATGTCTGTTTGCTATGAGTTGTTTAGTAGAGAATGAAATTTTGCAGTCCAGTACAATTTACACAAGTTTCTAACAAGTGCGGTCGGATCATAACTTAGCATCGGTAACCGGTAGCGCCACTGTCGCTGAATCATATAGTCATTTCGTTTTGATCGCGTGTAGAAAAGGTCGTGGCCGCGGATTTCAGAAAAGTGCATAAAGAGTAATACGGGGTCGATGATTCGATTCTTGTTTTAGAAAGCAAATCCCGCAGTGAACTCAAAAAATGCTTGGCTACCGTCAGAAATTGGTTTATCAGGCTCAGTTATTGACGAGTGATAACCAGGTGCGTCTAAAATGGCTAACATGCAGGATAACATGACATGACTCCGTAATATCTTTTTAACAGCTGCCGACTGAAGCTACGCAAGATATGTAAGGCTGTAGGCATCTTAAAAAAGCGCATGAAATATTCTTCATAAGAAAGTTTCAAATATTAAATGCAGTCATGGAACCACTTCACAGCAGTGTTTGACGCTCTTTTAACGCAATGCAAAAGAGTACTCGCCTCATTTTGTGATCGTCGACGAAACATGTAACTTCTGGTATAGTTATCAGAGGCCAAGAAATAATCGAAACACTGGACTCTACTGCCAAACCAACGAAAGCGAAATTGTCCTATCACCGCGAATGTTGATGGCCACCGTATTCCGGTATTCACAAGGTGTAATCTACATCAATTATCAAGAAAAAGGGAAGAAACCGAACATCAGAGTTCTACTATGCTGAATTATTAGGCTGATTTGACGCCAAGTTGAAAAGAAGATCGACACATTTGGCATAAGAAAAAGTGCTTTTGATGGACCTTTTGATGGATCACACTTTCTGATAATACACCTCATATGGAAATTACAAAGTTTGGCAATGATTCGTCGTCATGTACGTGTCCGGGAATATTTTAGATATACATGCAGAGCTAAAGTCACTGTCCTTTGGATTTTTGTGTCTGCGTTAAAGTAACTTGAATTTTTTCGACATATTCCATTTTAATAATCTCTGAACTTATTCTTATTAGGTATTTGGGATATATTACCACTCAGTAGGGACGGTTGTATTTGCATAAATCCTTCAGATGGTATTTTGATACAAGTCACCGTTAGGAACATTTAGTTAGAATTAGTTTGATTTTATTGAATCGTCAAACATGGCGTTTACTATATTTATATTACATATGAAGAAGCGATATTACCGTACTAAATTTAAGTTACCATACAACTTGAAATACGCACCAGCAGGGTGTAAAAATTCTTACGTAACGTAAACTTAAAAATAAAACTTAAAATATTCCGTGTCGCTTGGAAACTTTTTTTTATAAATATGCTTGAGTGTTAGAGCGCGTCGCCTAAAGATGAAACTTCGAACTAAACTCCTGACCAAACTGTTTCTTATTATATTAGCATACAACTTTATATATTCCTTCAAGTGCAGAGAATTTCAGTTTCAACGCTCACCTGCCTTAAGAATAGTGGAATAGTTGATATAAAAACAAATTTAAAATTATAAATATTTCTTTATATGAAAATGAAAAAATAGAACTAAATTTAAGTCGAAGCAAAATCGGCTTTTCTTAAAAGAAAATATGCTCACTTTTGGAAAATAAATATATATAGTTATATTTTTAAAAATATTTTTATTTTACTAAATACATGTGTATTACATTTTTATTGTAGTAGTTGTGGTTGTTAGCGTGAACCTGTGAAATTGAATCCAAAAGTAAATGTTAATTGTGCATTAGTGCGTATTTACGAACTGTGATTAACAAAAATCTAAAAAGTGCTCAACACTTTCATCAATTTTGTGCGTTATTACCATAATTTAGTGCAATGTTGTGATTTTATTTGCATGTGAAAGTAAAAAGAGATTTCTATTCTCTCTTTGATATAATTATTCTTGTTATTGGCAACTACGTGATATCAAAGTAATTTGTATATTATTTTGAAACTCTTTTTTTTGTATAACTTTTTAAAGTTTACGAGTGCGCTGGTGCATTGAAACTTCTAATTGATTTATTTGTGCGTTTTTAAAAAAATAATAAAAAATATTTTTTAAAATATATCAAACAACGTAAATGGTGCTGTCAAAAACCAAATTAAAAAAATTAAAACGGATTTTTATACGCCGCTTCAAAACCGATACATACCCTGGCCGATGCGGAGTCGCCACTCACCCTGTGACCGCCAAGATTATTGACCACACACGTGAAGGTCGCATCGCGCCCCTGCGCTACGGTGACATTTTCCAGCGGGAAGACGAAATCCGGCTCGAATGCGCCCACTGTCGAGATTTGGTTGGAAATGGAAATATCTTCATTTCAATTGTTTGTTAGGTTGTTTGTGATTTTTAACGGTATTTTTTTTTTATTTATTTTTCGGTACAATTGCATTCGGTCGATTTTGCGTGAGTGTTAGATGAGTGATGGAAAATGGTTGAAATGGAGTGGAGAGGGGAGGGGAGTTTGTTAAGTGAGTGCAATTTAGTTTCGTTTTTGTTTTGGTCAGTCGATTTGTGAATGGAAATGGGGCAAATCAATTTAAGCAGCATTTAAAAAATCGCGTAAAAAAGAAACAAATAGAACAAATTGAACAAAACGCACAATTATAATAATTCATTTCTGCAGTATTTTTCTTCAGTATATTTACATAATTATTATTAATTATAAATGAGATTATAATTCAATACATAAGTGAGTGCATAATTGAAATTGTTGTTGCAAATCAAATGTAGCAACATAAGAGAGACGCTAATGTTGTCAATCATCTGTTGTGCAACATAAAGACATATATAACATACATACACACATACACACAGAAAGCCACGCAGAGAGCATACAGGGTCTACAGGTTCCACAAGTTGCATAAAACATTATATAATCACAATATAACCCAATATTTCTTTGAAATATATATTTGAAATTGTTTCTGAAAATTATTTTCGATTCAATTTCGTTTCCGCTAAATGATAAAGAACCAATTAGATTATACAAAAAATTAACTTGTATAAGCAATAAGATATTTATATTGATAGACGACCTAGCTATTCTAATATTATTAAAAAATCGTTTGCAACCTTATTGAAGATTTACATTTACTTTCTTCTATATTTTTAGAGACATCATCATTTTCATACAAATATTTTGGTCAACCATCATTGACACATCACATTACAAATATGGTGAGTGCTAATTATATTATCTTATTTGATTATTGCAAATGTCGAATAATATAATATTTTCAAGTTGGGTAAATATACCAGACAAATTTCTAATTGTAGAAAATAACCTCACATTATTGGATCAAAGTCGGATATTAGGTTTAGAGTTTTTGATTAATTGTCTAGTGTTTCCGTTATGGTTCTTAATAACCTTTGTTTATTAGAAATATTTCCATCTATACAACCTGTATAACATCTGATCAAATTTGAGTCGGACTGATCCATTTAAACTGCACGTAAATTGGTATTTTTGATGCTCGTGTGAAGTTTGATCTCTGTCTGATGTCAATTAGTGTGTGTTTGGCAGCGGGTTGTTTACAACGTGAAAAATTTATCCAGCGATTTTTACCTTGGAAATAAATTGAAAATCGAGTTTGGCATGGCTTTTCTTGGTACTTCATATGAACTTGTGGAACGTTAAACGTTTGACGCGAAAAGCTTGATAGTTATGAGTAAATATAAGGTAAAAGCTGGTAAAGTGTCAATTTTTCAAAGCTAGTCAATGTATGTGCTAAAATATTATCTTTATTAAGGTATTGGTTTTGAATAACCAACTATAATTAGGTATAAAATAATTAGCTCTCTATTTAATTATTTTCACTTCCTGTAGCTCCCCCATTCACACACAGGCACACACTTATACTATGAAATATATATATATTTATAACAGTTTGTAACAAAGAACCTACTCACCAATACAGTTGCAAATGAGAAAGGCAACCAACAGTTGCCATCGTACGGCTGCACATTGTTGCAGTGTTGTTGCTGTAATGACCAAATGCGCATTGAGTAGTCGCCGCATGCGGCGTCCAGTGGTGCACGTGGTTACTGGAGACGATGTGCGTTTGTGATAATAACGTTTTGTTGTTCTTGTCTGTGGCGTGCTTCTTGTGCACAAACTTTGCGGTCTAGCTCTTATCTCTGTAGGATTCCGGTGTGACTGTGTTCTTGTTGTAGCCGGTGGTGGGTTTGTTCGGTTTGATTTCGACAACTTTCCTATTAATGTTGTGACTGATGTGGACGCCACCTGGCGAGTGACAATTGTGGTTTCAATTGCGGTTGTCATCATGTTGATTTGCTTGACACTAATTCCATTGCTCGGTTAAATGTCTTTTGATTGTGTCACACGAATTAACTGAAGATAAGACCATTTTGTTTGTGAGACAGTGATGTGGGATTAATTTCGCTGGAAAGGGGAAGAAAAAGGTGAAATTTTATTCAATTTTGAGAAAACGGTATTTAGACGTTCATATAGTATTTAATTTTCGATAGCTCTCGATACAAGTGAGAAATGTAAGCAATAACATTTTGTTAAAAACCAATATTGTAAAGAGGAAGAATTGATTGTGTGTTTGTATGAATTGAGTAGCCTTGACGGATTTGAAAAATTCATTCACCGTTTAGAAGCTACATACACCATACTCAGCTGTTATATTTACGTCACGATAAGTCTTCTTTTATTAAAAAAATAAAAACATAATTTAAATACCGCCTCTGTCAAATCTATTTATTTATATTATATAGTATTAATCCTTATTAATCCTTATCAAAACTAATTACATTTCATATTCAAGCCTGATTCAATACCTTCCAATAACTTTTTTAATTAACGATTCGGAAATTCCATTCTAAAGATATCAAGAATTTAAAAATTTAGGTATTAAAAAAAAAGTCGTGCGGTGAGCGGTGCCTTAAATATTAGCTCGTACCTAATTTCGTGAAGATACCTCGTCAAATGAAAGAGTTTTCCATACAAAAACTTAATTCTGGTCGTTGAGCTTGTATGACAGATATATGCTATAGTGGTCTGATATCAGCCGTTTCGACAAATGAGCAGCTTCTTGCTGAGAAAAGAACAGGCGCAAAATTTCAGACCGATAGCTTAAGAATTGAGGGACTGGTTTGTATACATACAGACAGATGGACAGACAAATGGACACGGCTAAATCAACTCAGCTCATCATGCTGATCATTTATGTATATATTTTATAGGGTTTCCGACGTTTCCTTCTGGGTGTTACAAACTTCGTGGCAAACTTGATATATCTTGTTCAGGGTATACAAATTAAAGTGTTCGTCTCCGAGTATTTACTCAAGCAAACTTGAAAAATATTGTTTTGGGAAAAGCTCATTTAAAGATAAACTGATAGCGCTGATAGAACTTAGTGACTACACTTTAGAAGTCTGTAACTCCAAAAATATTTGAGATACTTGGCTTGTTCCTATAGTAATTTCCTTCATATTTAGGACTTTAAGTTATAGTTATTTCGTTCGCACAGAACATGCAACATTTGCTGTGCTATTGAAAAGATTAATTTGCCTCGAATTAAGGATTCTGGAGAAATTTCTTATTTAATTCTTCCAATTTGTAACACTAGAAGACTCGTATAACCCTTAGGAACATTAACTGTTTACCTGTTTTACATTAAAATGAAACCGGCAATCTTTGGATAAAATTCTCAACAGTTTTACTGTCGGGCGTAACTCTGGACAAATAGCCGAACTCTTTCCAATTAGGAAACTCATCGCAAATGAGAACTGTTTATTTTAAATAGCTTAACATAACACTATCATAGGCAACGGCGAAAGCTCCCTCCACTATTCACTTGGACGTTACTTCAAACTTTTGATCCCATAATATCTATTCTCTTACCACAAAGAAGTTCAGTGAAAAATACACCTTTGGCTGTAGTAGTCGCTAAAGTTAGGCGTGTTTTTATGAGCTTATCTTATATATGCACCTAAGCAGGGTTAACAAAAGTTAAAAAATGTTCCTGTTTTTTTCGTATTTGGGAAGAATTTTGAGCTTCCACGCTATTAAGATCTCCGAGTTATATTTACGAGTATCTTGATACACTTAAGAAATTGTATCCTAAACTAAAACTTCTAGCTTTAAATACTGCTGATTCAGACGTCCTTCTTAGTTTATGTTGAAATGTGTGCACGTGTGTGTGAATATAAAGTTCCATTGAAAGTGCTGAAATGCAAACATATTTAACACCAGCACCGCTTATAAACTCAGTTGCATTTATTCAATATACCTCAGGTAATTATGTGTGTGTGTACGCCGTTTGTGCAACACCGCGAATTTGATTAAAGCGTTGCACAAACCCGGCACCCCACGCAGAGCTTTTATGAGGTCTTTTATGTGCCACTGCAGCGTTTTGCGCTGAAAGGACACGCGCCGTATTTCTTCCGTAAATAGCAGTTACAAGTGTCTGCATATGTTCTCAAGCCCACACACACACACACGCACATACGCTACTAAAGTGATACCAAACTGAATAAATGTATGTGTGTGAGAACACTCTTTTGCTTGCAGTCACATGACTTGGCGTGAAATCTACTGGCGAGCTGTGTACGTGCTCAAGGCACGTATATATGTGTGTGTGGGCATACATGCATATCTTGCTACTTTTTACTTTTAAGCTTGCAGCATTTTTGTTCGTTTCGTCCTGCATCCTCAAGCTTTCCGATTTTATTACGCCGCACATGTTCTGCCTGCCGCCTTTAACCAACCTGTCTGCTCCTGTTGTTTCCTGGCAACATGCCGCCTAGGTGGTCCATATACTAACCTACAACGAAGTATAAATGTTGTAGTGTGCACCTGTCGCATTCGCAGCACTCCATTGCCGGCACCTGACCGAGTTGTTCTTGTGGCCAGCTCTGTGTATTTGTATGCTCAGCGAAAAAGCCAGAACGCCTGTTCGTGTGTTGGATATAGCTATACATATGTATGTGTGTATATACATGTGTACATATGTGTATGCGTGTTGTTGGCTTTAGCAACTTTTTGCTCTGCTGGACTTGGCAACGCGGTTTTGCTTCTAATATATTGCACCTGCACAAAAGTTTAACCCACACTTCATCTCTCGCTCTCTCTCTTTCCCTCTGTTTTTCTCTATCACTAATGCATCAAGGTGCTGCAGGAATTTAATTATTAAATTGCAAAATATGCTTTCACGTTCGGCGAAGCACATCGACAGCGTCATTTAATAAAGTGAAAGCTTGGTATGCCAGTGCCAAATATTTCGATTTTATTTGATGCGACAAAGTTGAATGACATTTGCCTGGGCACATTTCTATATATCTGTAAACATATATGTATATGTTAGTTTGTTGGCATTGCAGCAATGTTGATGTATTACAGAGTTTCAAAAATGCATGAAAATCCTTATCTGTTTTATGTTATGTATTCACTCAATTTGTGGTTAAATCCTACTTTGTATGATTTGTTATTAATATACTCTTTAATATAAGTTCGTCTGTTATAGGAAGTATTTTATTCCAGAGCGCAGCTGTTATACCCTTCACAAATAAAAAATATTCCTCACAGGAGCTTTATTTTGATCGATCAGTTTGTATGGCAGCTAAATGTTATAGTGACTCGATCTTTGATTTTTAGATATTGCACTGTTGCTGAGTCACGGTGTCGTAAGATAACTACTATACCTACCTACCTACCGTTGCCTTAAAGAATAATACGTGTCAAATTTCGTGAAGATATCTCGTCAAATGAAAAAGTTTTCCATATTATTCCCATATCGGCGCTTCCGACAAATGAGCATTAAGTTTAATCGATTTAATTTTAAAAACTATTACAAAAAAAAAAAAAAAATTTAAAATTTCCTTTCCAAATTTCAATTGACTATCATCGTGATTATAGCATAGAAAAAAGTAGTTTTGAGAGAAACGCGTTTACAGTGTTGTTTTCCGCTCAAACCGGTTTATTGTCACGACACTAAAACGGCTATAACTTTGAAAATAATTCGAACTTTCAAAAATCCTTTTAGGGAAATATTTTGTAATATCTAAACTAATATAATTATAATTATATTAAATATATTGATTTTTCTTTTCAAATTTCCAGACTAGAATATTTCCTTAAATGACAAATATTGCATACCGAGCCGAGAAGTAGAATGCCGAATAGATCACATACCAAACTCTTAAAATAGCGAAAAGGCAAAAAGATGTAGGGGTTAAAGGGCGCTGACTAATTGATTCGTAGTCTAATAGCTGCAGTTTTGCCGTGTCCTTCTTGATCGCTAGACCTGACATACCCTTCCAATTCACCCAAGTACGCCTTCTGATTTGACTGCTACTTCCTTTTTTTCAATTGTGATTGTAGTAAATAAGATATTGCGATATAGTGATCCTCTTCCTCTGCCTATAGATAGAGCAGTTCCCATCAGTTCAAAATTAGTTTTAAATGTCTTTATCGATTTATAAGAATATTGTTTGGTGGTCCACCTAAAATTTTAGAAATGCATGTTTAGTCAAAAAAAGGATCCATATAAATAGAAAAAGCTGTAAAGACAAAAATTATCGTTTCGGTTTTAGGAAGAGTAAGAAATTTTTACTGTATTTGATTTTATCATTCAACACAATCGGCATCGATGACAATACACCGATTTTAGCGATGTTACAACTTTTTGATACCATTTTTGTACCATTGTCTTGGCTTCAAAAGGGCTCAGTATGGGAGAATATTTATTCATTGGGGCTAAATTTTTATCTAGCGAATATTTTCTTGAGGTCTTCTAATTGGAATAAGTCACTGAGGACCAGTTCCGCCCAACCCAATGGATGCATAGTATTTAGTTCAAAGTTCAATGAATGCAATTTTGGCTCGCTTCCATCGATTGAGACTCGATACAATGTTAGAATTGTGAGCTCGAGCTGCAACAACAATATTTTCAACACAATATTTTCAACATAATCCACACTTTGTGATTAACCGTTATTCTATTGTACAAAAATATTTTAATTTATCTGCATAAATGAAAAACAAAATACTTGTTTTGGATTAAATCTGGAAGAATGCAATAGCTTAAATTGACAACATTTAAGAAATTACTGTAGGTAATTATACGAATTACTGAAAAAGGTATTAAAATTGTTGCCTACATTTTGGCGCGATAGTAATGATGACAATTATGTCTTAACTGATAGTCAAACTTCACTGGACATTAACTTAGGGCTCTTAATAAACTCATATCGTTATAAACTTATTGCTTTTCGGTGGTGTTTTTGCATTTCGGAAAACGTAGAATTTTTTCATGTGGTCAGGAAAAAATTTGCTCCTATTTGTATACTCATTATATTTGAAACTCTGCTAGCAAATTTGCTTGTAAGAAAAAAATGTAAGCTATTATCTATAGCTATAATTGCTCTAGTGACTAC